ATATCAAACTTGATTATTTTGGCAACACCACATTTGTAGAGGTGAGTGGGAGTTTGTGTGGTTTCATGAGAGCCCTGCCATCATGGGAGAAAAATGAAGCTTTGGCTGCTTAGGGCATCTTTTTTATTAGAAAATCTGAAGGGCATATCTTTATTTGTTTCATGTAGTTAGATTCAAATAATAAAATTATAGAAGCATAGACTTAAGTGTTGAAAACTTTGTGATAATTAAAATAAACAAAACATAGGTCTAATTATGGACTTCTAATAGTTAAGTAACTAAAAAACATAAAAACAATTCTTAGTTATTAAAGAATTAAAATAAAATAAACATTGTTACATAAAAAAATTGAATGACTTGCCTATCTTATTATTATTCGAGTATATCACACAAAAAGATAAATATTGGCACGGTTCTGGGTTTCATGCGTTATTGAATGGTCTATATGGTTGATATAGTGAATGAATACATTATACATTTGCAAAACATTTCTGGCTGATTGATAGCGAGTCCAATAGTGTTTGAATAGTGTTTTGACACAAACATACCAAAATGCATACAATATACTCTTTCCGTTTTAAAATATAAGTTATTTTAGAGGTTTTTTTGTTTCAAAATATAAGTTGTTTTGATAATTCTAGGTATTTTTTTTATCTTTAGTGACTATTGTATTGTGTGACCAATAGTATTTTGCAGTTGTCTTTTCATTAATTAAATTATTTTTATTATATTGAAAGATAACTTTTGATTTAAATCAGTTCAAATCATTATAAAGTAGTAGATAACGGTTTCTATGATAACGGTTCAAATCATTTATACATGGCCGCAAACGTTACACCTCTTAACAACTTAAAAAAAAAAACTACTCAATACAAGCCTCTAAACCGCATCGTTCGGAAATTATGTTACCATTTATCAGTGAGCGACATCGGGATTAAAGCCACCACGCTGCTGTCAATGAAAGATCTGGCTACCAAAGAAAAGGCAGCTACTTTCACATGCATGAACTCTAAGTTCGAACGGTTTACTGAGTTTTTTTCTCTCGCTAAAATAGATGGGTATAATCGGATTATACATTATTTTCTACTCGATCCAAGCATCGAACATATCAAACTGAAACAACAAATGTGATAAAAACTAGTTCAAGATTTCTCAAAAAAAACAAAAAAAAACAGTTTTGTTATTCATGGATACCATTGCTTCGATTATTTCGAATCAAGTGAAATTCAAAAGAAAGGTTTCCTTTTGGTCAACAATATCCAGGACATTCAAGAAAAAGAAAACAATAAGACACACAATCTTGATTCGTCACCATCGCAGAAAGATTTCACAGCAACCCCTGCATTCATAAACCAAAGCATGAGTCGATACTGATACATTGATATATCACGAAACCAATATCGAAAACTTAAAGCAACCAAAGTAAGTATCATTTCACATATTGACTAAAGCTAACCATCACAATCCAAAAAACAAACCAATGTGATATGATACTGGAACTGCCCAAGAGCCTAAATTGACTAAAGCTAAACATGGTCACCAATTTACACATCTCAAACATTTGAAATCAGAGAGGAAACTAGAAAGGTTAACTCTTTCAACAGATTAGAAAACTCTCCCAAGTTTTGCTACTCATCGACTCATACATTGATGCCTAAACTGGCCTTAGAAGAACGAAAAATGAATCATTTCTAATCGAAAAATCGAAACCAAATCTCTTCTCAGACAAATCAACTGAAACATTTCCAAAAAAGGATGCAAAATTGACTTTGAAATCTATCAATTCACAGATGCAAATCACCACAAGTGTATAAACGAAATCTCAATCGACAAAATGACATACATTTACCAAAGAACCCGAATTTGCAAAACCGAAACAACAATCAAAAGGATTCGAATATCAGAATACCTAAAATCATCGAGAGATCGGAATCGATTCCACCTCGAGATCAATGACCACCGTGCTCCTTCGCATGCTGCTGGTGCTCAAGATGGCGACGCTCCTTCGGGAGAGCGACGAGGTATGAGAAACCCATACCATAAAAGCAGATATGAAGGAGAGGATCAACGGAGCTGGTCTGGATGTATTTGTCGTTGTAGTTATCGAGCCCTTTCTTCACAGATGTCTTCACGGTCTCCATTGAAAACGTCGATTTCAAATACCCAGGAAGCTCCGTCAGTTTCTTCCCTTTGATTTCACTGTAAACTCTCCTCAGCGCCATTGGATCGATCTTCTTCTTCTTCTCTCTGGAATTTGTTGTTGCGCGACGAGGAAAACAAAAATAAAAATGGCTCTTTTAACCCTAATCCACGAATTGGGGATCGAGAAAAGACTTTTGGAAACTGGAGAATAAAAATGACAAAGGGAAATTTCTTTTATATTTAAAAATAACGGGTTGTCTAATCCGATTTCGGTTCGGTTTTTTTAGGTTAATGTGTTACATAAACCGAATTTATTCGGTTTGGTTTCTTTGAATTTATCAACAAAATTTTCATATCAATTTAATTTACTTCCAATTCGATTGGTACTAGTTTCAGTTTTCAGT